GGCACTTCACTGCACTGCTGACGGCCTGGTAACGCGGCACTTCACTGCACTGCTGACGGCCTGGTAACACGGCACTTCACTGCACTGCTGACAGCCAGTAAAGGCGGCACTTCACTGCACTGCTGACAGCCTGGTAACACGGCACTTCACTGCACTGCTGACGGCCTGGTAACGAGGTACTTCACTGCACTGCTGACAGCCTGGTAACGCAGCACTGCACTGCACTGCTGACGGCCTGGTAACGCGGCACTGCACTGCACTGCTGACAGCCTGGTAACACGGCACTTCACTGCACTGCTGACGGCCTGGTAACGCGCCACTTCACTTCACTGCTGACAGCCTGGTAACGCTGCACTGCACTGCTGACGGCCTGGTAACGCGGCACTTCACTGCACTGCTGACGGCCTGGTAACGCGGCACTGCACTGCACTGCTGACGGCCTGGTAACGCGGCACTTCACTGCACTGCTGACAGCCTGGTAACGCGGCACTTCACTCTTACTGAAAAAGCAGCAGATAAAATCCTGCTCATTATTGTTATTTCCTTTACATTTTGTAATATCCAGATGCAACGTGTGTGAAATTAGCTGACACGGTAGATACAGAACCTAGATTTGAAGAGACACAAAAGATTGACACAATTATGGATCAGCCAGACATTAACAAAAAACATGAAGCAACACATTTGAAAAGAAGGAAAATTGACTCTGTGGTCTGTGTGCGATCAGCACCTGTGATTCATTGATTCATTCGAGCAGCCTATCAAATAATGCCCGCCAAAATCAACATGTTCCGGTAAGTAGCAGTAGGACCCTGCCCAGGGTGTACCCTTGCTCTGTGCCCTGTGCATGCCCCCCATGACCCTGGCCAAGCAGATGGATGGATGGATGGATGGATGCAGGAGACACTGGGCTCCATAAATCTGTTCATGCCAGTAAATGTTACCCTCGTACGGCAGTTCCTGTTTAGACTACAAACTGCAGTGGAAGATGTAGACCGCTCATGTTGTGGGGTGGTCTTAAGCGATGCTTTGTGAGCAGCCCAGAAACCCTCAGATGAGTCACTGTTCAGCCGGGATCAATGATAATCTGCAAGGCTCCCCAAAGCTAATCAATAGCATGATCGATGGGTTGGTCACCTCATGCCTCTGGAGGCCTCAGACAACGACTGTCTGACTTTGTGTCTTTGCAGCTGTTGAGCAGACAAAGGGGTGTGGTCAGTGGGTGGGGCCAGGATAGGGGCGGGGCACTTCTCACCTGAGTCTCTCCTCCTCCTTCTTACGCAGCTTCATGTCCCGCTGCACCACTTCCAGGACATGCTCCGCCTCCTGCTCAGTCAGGCCCGACAGGTCTATCTTCTTGCCCATGCTGATTTGAGGGGTACGCCCCCAGGTCGGGTCCTCCAATCACAGGGCAAAGGTCGGTCAGCTTGTCCAATCGCGAGCGGGGGATAAGTCGGGTCCTCCAATCACAGGGCAGTAGTGATCAGGTGTGTCTAGGGAAAGGGAATGAGCGAAAGCGGTGAAACACACACAGCGGGACACGGGGGAACCAGCATCACCTTTCGGTTGTTCCAGGCTTTGCTGCATTGACCCAGGAGGACTGCAGTCCTGGAGGTTTTCAGGATGTATGATTATTAAGAACATGTTATAGAGTGTTTCTTCTAATTTACGTTCAACAATTACACTCAGTGCCCAACATTTTGCATAATTCTCTGCCGAGACAGATTAGTTAAATGTCATTTTCTCACCAAGCTTAATTAACCTTCTGGTTTCTTATGTAACAAGCACGCTGTTTCGGATTAGTTCTCAGTGGAGCAAGACAGTAACAAATTTCCTTCATAGGGAACAAATACTAGCATGGCAAATGGGCACCTGAGAGCAATTACGACACACAAAAAAAAACCACAAATCCATGTGCAAGGCATATAAATCGGTATTAAAAGTTTGGTGATTGCTAGTGTTTTGCTTTCCCGCTGGCACCGGGCTGTTGAGGGCTGTGGAGACTCTGAGGTGAGGCAAGGATCCAGCTTCAGCTCTGTCCTGTTGAAATGCCAAACTACTGCTTAATTTCATGGTGCCCCATATACAGGGAAACCCCATAGACAGCCATGGGAGGGGTAAAATACCCTCATATGGTGGCCGGCCATCCCATCCAAAGCATCCCCCTGCCTTGTGCCCTGTGATGCCAGTGACAGCACACCTACAGTATGACCCAGGCCAGGTTAAGCAGATGAAGAATAATCCATCCATCCACCATCCAGAGTTCTGGGTTGTTTGGGGGGCCTGGAGCTGATCCCAGGCAGCACACGGCACAAGGTTGGGGTACATCCAGGCCGAGATGCGATACAGGTCCACACACAGGGCAAAAGCTAAATTCGAACCTCCAACCCTAGCCAATGAGCCACCCACCAAAAAAAACCTACTATGTTAAAGCCACCTGAAATTAGATCATATAATTAAACACATTCTTATCAACACTAAACAGCTGGGAGCTCATTCTTGTGTTTGATAAGAACGTTTTTTTTCCCCATACTGCTGAAATTCATGAATAGAATTTATCTGGTCCTGCATGCTGGCCCATCACTGAAACACAATAACAATTAAAAATCCTTCTATACTCTGCAAACCTCACCAGTATATAATCGGTTTTGGTGTAACTATGGCAACCAGCTCAGCAATCATAAGTGTTCTGTTAGTCTGCTGCTGTGCATGGTTTTATATTTCCGCCATATACATGTATTTTCAATCATTCCACATAATAAATTAACCCGGGGCTTTAATTCATAGACAGTGTCAACAGAAAATTATGGACATCTGCTTGCCTTAAATATTTATTAATCAACAATGGTCATTAATATTACATGCCCATTTCCTGACCAAATACTCCCCCATCAGAAATGATAAAGACAAGGATGTCATACTTGGCCAACTCAAGTAAACATGCAGCGGCCAAACAGCTCTTTGCCCTGAGTTGACCCCTTTTATGCTGAAACAGAAAACATCTCTTAAAACTCTGTGGAATTTAAAAACCCATACAAAGAAGTTCTCACACAAATATTCACAACAGCCTTTAAAACATTGGCTAAGGCAATGAATCTGTTTAGCACCTCAAGGGCAGTTAGCCCTTCTCAGGACACTTTCTGGGATCATCATGACTGACCATGTCTCCTGGAATCCCAGTTTGTTTTTCCTTTAAGCCGGAACTAAAATTTGCAAGGACTTGTCCGAGATCCCAGCCCTGTTGAGAGGCAACGGATGCAGAAGCAAAGGCCTAGAATTCAGGCCTCACCAAACAGTCGAGCGTCTCCTCATAATTTTTCTGAATAATTTTTCTGGTGGTCAATTAGGCATGCAGCTGTGCTTGAAAACCAAGTGAATATTTTGCACTGTTTTTCCACTGCACTTTGAAGAAATGGGTTCATTGAATGTACATGATTTACATGAAATCCATATCAAACATATTCTTTCATATGATGCACTGGGCTTGAAACACGCACATCAGCTCCACCTTAAGCCGCTTCCAATCGATAACCGTGAAATAAGCCCTTCAGTGTCCGACAGTCCAGATGCCACCCCAAAACCCTGCCTTTTCGGGCGGGAAAAAAAAATATTTATATATATCAAATAGTTGATTCCCATCTCAACCCACAAGACTCACTCATTTCTGCATCAATTATTATACATGACTTGGCATTTATTTTTAACATAAGGAGGCAATGAGCTGACGCTGTTAGAAGCGTGTCCCCCAACGCCAGGTATTGAATTCACCCTATTAGGTTTTCAAATGGCAACTGTCACGCTTCCTGCTTTCCCCGAATTTATTTTCATCGTCCGCCGAATTTACAAAGTCACTACCCCTCGTTACTGCTATTACAGTGCAGTGATACACGCGTATAACCGAAAATGGCATATTGCCAGGTCATGCCCGTTAAATAATAATAAAGTATGGGAAGCACAAGATCCGTTGCCCCTCAAATCAAGTGTCGAGTGGGGCTTCATTGTCACACCAGCCACACCACATATTCAGCGCACTGCATACGGTGACACGCAATGACGGAGCGCGATGCTACATATATATGCATGAAGTGAACAGATAGACAGGGCAAGCGTAAAGGGACACACTCTGACACCAATATGACAGTGAGCAATGGTGGAATGTTACGAATATGGGCAATGATGGAAACAGCGCAGCACATAAAAGTGGACCGTAGGACTAAATAATTAACAAAATAACTATCCGAGATAAATAATGATATAAAATGAGTATTCGTAACACTGGCCATAACGGTGTAACTGGCAATAAAGTGACAAACCTGTGAAACTTGTTACAATGCATTTGCCGTGCGACACAACGTTGCTGGTCAATGCATTGAGAATTTCATGCTTGTGCTTAAAGCTGTATTCTGGACCCCTTCGACGCCAGTATTTAACTCTCAATTCATTCAGCCATGAAGCTCGAAAATCGTTCACTAGCCCTTCCTGACGAAAAAAAGTAAAGTGATCCCCGGCTATCTGGAATATCCACGATCTACCCCAGCTTTTGGGTGAACGTGATTTAAAGTTTCAGAAAACTTTAACTTACCGACCACAAACTACTCACCGGGTACGTATGCGCCTGCTGTCGGAATAAAGGTGCTGTATTGTACACTGACCCCCTCCCGTAAAGACCTAGATGCGATCGCCTCTACCCCACCTCCTCCGGTCAAAGATGGAGGGGGTGCGTTAAAGGATTTGTGTCCGTCTTCCTCGGGTCGCTATAGCATCTTCCGTCATTTTCCCACCACACAATCCTAGTGTGTTTTCTCGCTTCCCTTATGACCGTGAGGTGTGCAACACAAACAAGCGACTAAACACGCTTTTGAATGTGTTTTCTATTTTTATATTTTGTTACGATACGGTTTTTTTTAGTTGTTATGGATATATATATAGAAATAGAGCGGTATTTTGTTAACAGAATTAATTAAAAAAAAAATAATTCTGCAGACCGGTCGATTACAACGATTCCCCGCAAGCGGTCTCATGCCGTTTTGTTAAATGGATTTATTTAATTCTCACTAAGTATTTTTTAAGCCTGCTTAGGTTAAAAGAAATTTTGTGACGGTCTAACAGAAGTGCTCCTTGTGGGATCTAAACCTTGAGTAGCAGTACGGTTCCTTAATCGTACCTCGTTCCGAAACGCTTTCAATTGACACCTTCCGCCCTCAAATGCTATAGCTGTTCCTCCCGTCACCAAGATGAAAAGGTCCATGCATGAAATAAAATCCTTGTTCTTGTTTCGAAAGGTCAAACTTCATAGTTCTGTTACTGCCATTCCCGCCCCAGCCCCCCCCCATTCTCACCTGACAGTCCAGCTGGATTTTGGCGAGACACTCTGTAGGTCATCTTAAAGGGGGGGGGGGGTGCAGTCATTCTGTGGCAGCACAGAGCCAGCTGGAACCTGTCTCGGTGTGCCGTGGGGTGACGGGAGGGGTCGCTGGCCGTAGCTGTGGGCGATGGTTTTGTCATGGTCGTTTCCGTGATCCTCTTTTAATTTGCGTTAAAATGAACTTGTCGATGGCTAATTGGACCTCTGAATCGTCCATTGAATGTGACTGTGGGTGTGACGCGTTTGTGTCTGTGTGTGTGTGCGCGTGCTGACCGCTCAATAAATGGGGGGACATATCTGCCCGGACACAGTCACGGTCTGTCACTTACGCATGTGCTGATCTGCAGACGAAACATCACACACGCCGTTACAAAGCGTGAAGAACCAGAGCCCAGAGGCACAGGTCAGCCGTTGGGCTCGGGACAGAGAGTCCCTGAAGCGTGGCAAGTGGTATTGATTTGTGGTGAAATCCGTCAAAGCCGGCCAGCCCCCCCAACATGGAAACTCCACACACATGGAGCCATGAACCCTGGTCATAGAGGTGTCAGTGCTGACCACTGCTCCGACACGCTGACCACTGCTCCGACACGCTGACCACTGCTCCGACATGCTGACCCTTCCTTCTAAATAGTTCATCCTTTGTAACAGACATGTCTCATGAAAGGTCAATTGTCTGCATCTGCAGAACACCTGCATTAATTAAACACTGGGGGGGGGGGTCGACATAAATCTACATATCTGTGTAGGATTAACAGATTAGAGCCCATACAGTGGTCAGCAGTGAGGGAGGAATGAGCGGATTAAAGCGGAAATGGCTTTTCCGGAGACGTTCAAAGTCCTTCAGTGAGGGAGGGTCAGAACAATGGCGGTCTTGGAAATTAGGCAGGCCAGAGAGGGGTTATGTAAGTGGAACAGTCTGGCTAAGTGGCTGTGGTTCGGAACTCAGCACATGTATTTAATTTGGGCTGTGATGTTGCTTCCCTCCCCCCCCTACCCCCCCACCCCAAACCGACATGTGTTCAGGGTTCAGGTCTGTGGAAACAGAGCTACGCCAACAAGCTTGTGCGGTCGACTGCGATGCTTGATTGCGTCCCTCCGGATCGACAAAAATGGCCATTCCTGATGGAGAGATCTGACTTGTGACAGACCTATCAAATTTAGATTGGCAAATCTAATTACTTCTCGGTGTTAATTGCTGAAACAAATCATTACATAAATGCCTCTTATCAGGACCGAGATCTTGTCACATTTTCCTGTACAGGAACCACTTCCCACGGTCCCTTGGGGCAATTCAAGCAGAGCCGAGCAATCAGGCCAGCTTAGTGAAGTACACAGCGTCCCCCGTCACCCTCTGCGCGTAAACACTCTCGCCCAGTGAACCATTCCGTGCGTTACTCCTAATGGGGCTGTTTACTGATTATAGGCTTTGATCTGACAAGCCCACATTTCTGTTTCAAGACACAAGTTGGCGTCACACTCAGCTATGAAAAGAACAAAAGTTTCCTACTGGAAATGTTTTTGTTTTAATTTGCAATTTAATTAGGTGATTAACCCTGGCTCTCAGACAACGATTTAACAGATTAATCAATTCATTATAATGTAAATTTGGAGCTGATCTGAAATGCTACATTTTTAAGAGAGCGTAAGCAATGAAAATAAATTATATAATTGCTATATTTGATAAGTGACCTTTTATCCAAGTAAGCAGGTCAGAATAAACTGTTTAAATAACAGGGAAGATAAAAACCTGACCTTCATTTACCTTCGCTGAGGGGGAGCACTAAATCCAGCCAATACAGTGGAAGCCATTACTAGGTCACATGTGTCACATGG